GCACCCCGATGTGGGACTGTTTAGGGTGTCCGGGGTGTTCCCGACGTTCTCCGGAGATGGCTCCAAGGTTGCGTTCGTTGACAATGAGTTCAAGGCCGTCTGGTTAGCCGATAGCCAAGGGCTGCGTAAAGTCTACGAGGTATGTGTGTATGCAGCTAATAATTAACACGCACCGTTGTTGTACTAATCTATCATTGATACGTGGCGCTATCTGTTTTTTTGTTTATGTAATGCGTCAAACCTAAAGATTGCTTCTATAGCCTACATCGTGTTGTGTGAACAGCGGCGAGCCAGCGCGTCGCGAGACACAATAAGGTGTCTCGCGCGGATCCGAACAGCAGGTACTTGGGCCTTGTTTTGGCCCTGTTTCCTTAGTATAAATAGGAACTCGTTTCCTAGGGTTTCTCAGAGGGGTTTCTGAGGTTTTAGACGGCTGCATAGAGAGTTTTTCAGATCTAAAAATGTGAGATATTGAGGAGAGAAAAGAGAGAGAGCTTGGAGCGATTGTACAAGAAAGAGTTCAGTTTTCTTAGGTAAAATCAAAGCCTATTCTCTTTGGGACGAGCTTGCTGGTTGTGCAAGTCGTCGGTGTTCTCCTTCATAGTGGAATCTTTCATCACCCCTCCCTGTGGATATAGGCAAGTTTGCCGAACCACGTAAATCTCGTGTCTTTATTGTTTTTTTTTGTGTGATGGCTATTGCTTGTTGGTTTCCTCGATATTCTGACCTAGATCTGATATTGAGAAGAGTGTATATCTCACATTGCTGAGATATATTACTTCTGTTCTTGTTTCCATCGCGAAACAGGAACATCGAGATTGGCTTGTGTTTTGTGAAAATAAAAGCCAGGGCTTTCTCTCAAGGTGATTCGCTTTCGCGGCGAGGTGGGCGTGTCGGCCCCCCAACATGTTGTTACCAATGAATATCACCATATCAAATGTTCAAGTTCAAGACTTAGTTCAACTTCATGTCTGTGGTGATAAAATTGGATAACTATAGAGAATGTTCAAATCGGAAGATACCTTCTCCGAAAGCATGATATGTATAATCCTAATTACTATTAGCTATGGAATTGTGGGGATTGTTGAAATAAATGAATCTTAGAGGGTTTTTATAGAAAAATATCATTTAATGGTTGGATTCCATAGATAAAAATTAAAATGTGTTTAATAAGTAGTATGTGAGTTTTAGTCCCACATTGGCTAATTGAATGCATTTTAGTTGGTTCAAATTAACACACTTATTATATATGGTGTAACAAAGGTGTTAGAGCATTGTTTGTTGGAAAAATTGCAAAGAAGAGAATAAAGAAAATTTGACTTTGATTCCTTTGATCTCGATTACAACTTGATTACAAAAGAGAGGAAAACGAATTTGGTTTTCCCCTTTGTTTAAAACTGGGTTCTTCTCGGTAGCGATGGAATGCCTCCTTCAATTGCTCGCGTTGAATTTGCTCTCCGTTGACGATCCGACTGTCTCTCTCTCGCAGGAACAATGAACTTCTGTGGAAAGTTTGGTGTTTAACTCTGAATGAGTTTTTAAGAACTCTGAACGAGTTTGAACTCTGTGAGTAGAGTTGTTGGAACCAAAAATTCGGTTAATGATCAAGCTGTCATTCTGTTGCTGACGAATCCCCTCAGATTTGATCTCCTGAGGTTGATTCAAAAATCCTATCTTTAAGGATTTTGCTGCTGCCAAATCTCCAAGCCCGAGTGGTTTTGATCCTTAGAATCCAACCTGTGTGGTTCAAAAATCCAACCCTTCGCTCTGTTGGGTTCGTTGAGCTTTTATAGGGGGATAGGAGGTTGTAACTGACCCCTATATCTGCTCCTACGTGGGCGAAAATCCCTCAGAACGTGGGATAAACGGTTCTGAAACCGTTCGACTCATGTTTGAACGAGTCAAACGCCCAATCTGGCGTTTAGCACCCAACTTCGCCTCTTAGAATTGAGACGCGAGGTTGGGTGTTAGCTGAACACCATTGAACGCGAGGGTCACTCGCGTTTAGCTTGTTGCCTGCTTGGAAACGCGGGGGTCAGTGTTGGTTGAACCCCTACGAACGCGAGGGTCGCTCACGTTTGGCCTGTGGCTTGGCGACGCGGGGGTCGCCTTTATTTCCAAAGTGGTGACGCGGGGATGACATCCGCGTCTCAGAACGAGCTATTTGACTTGTAGCTTCTTCTGTGTTGCATTGCCAGGACCGTTGTTCGGTAATCCTGGCTTTAGCTGTTGTGGAGTGTGAAAGTCGTCAGTTTGTAACTTTCACTGTAGATTGTGAAGACTGCTGAATAGAGTTTTCATCCGTTGTCGGAAGTGTCGTTGAATTATAACTCCTCTCGATCTATGTGAAAAGCCCTCCATTCGCAACTTTCGTTCACCGACCCGAAAGCTATTTGATGGTAGCTTTCATTATAGGAGCTAGACGGGAATCAACATCCATAGTGTCTTGAAGACGAATATTTGCCCACAGCTCTCTACCAAGCAACTATTTGATTGTATGTTTCCTTTCATTTCTAAAATCATTACACTGCTCATCAGCATCTCCAATAATTGCTAATATAATATTAGTCGTGCTGTTGTCGCAGCCATCAAGATCAATCATCTCAAAGATGAGGCCGTGTTTATAGCGGTTGCAGAGTTGCAGATGCAGTAATTAGAAAGTCGTCTGATTGTAACTTCCTCAGCATCTCTAATAGTTGTTAATATAATATTAGTGTTGTTGTCGCAGCCATCAAGATCAATCATCTCAGAAGTGAGGTCGCGTGTGTGGCGATTGTGGAGTTGCGGAGGCAGTGATTGGGAAGTCGTCTGATTATGACCTCCATTGTCGGAGCTTGTTTGGATAAGCTATCTATTGTGATTTTTAGACAGCCTACAAGCATCTCCAACAATGATCTTAGGTCTTTAATCATTCTATCAATCAGATCTGATCCGTAGGTGGTCCACGGCACCATTGAACGCGAGGGTCGCTCGCGTTTTGGCTTGTTGCCTGCTTGTAAACGCGGGGGTCATTGTTGGTTGGACCCCTACGAACGCGAGGGTCGCTCACGTTTGGCCTGTGGCTTGAAGACGCGGGGGTCATTGTTGGTTGGACCCTTACGAACGCGAGGGTCGCTCACGTTTAGACTGTGGCTTGGCGACGCGGGGGGCGCCTTCATTTCCAAAGTGGTGACGCGGGGATGACATCCGCGTCTCAGAACGAGCTATTTGACTTGTAGCTTCTTCTGTGTTGCATTGCCAGGACCGTTGTTCGGTAATCCTGGCTTTAGCTGTTGTGGAGTGTGAAAGTCGTCAGTTTGTAACTTTCACTGTAGATTGTGAAGACTGCTGAATAGAGTTTTCATCCGTTGTCGGAAGTGTCGTTGAATTATAACTCCTCTCGATCTATGTGAAAAGCCCTCCATTCGCAACTTTCGTTCACCGACCCGAAAGCTATTTGATGGTAGCTTTCATTATAGGAGCTAGACGGGAATCAACATCCATAGTGTCTTGAAGACGAATATTTGCCCACAGCTCTCTACCAAGCAACTATTTGATTGTATGTTTCGATTATCGGCGCGAAAGCTATTTGATTATAGCTTTCGTTGTGAGAGCTTGACGGGAATCAACATCCATAGTGTCTTGAAGACGAATATTTGCCCACAGCTCTCTACCAAGCAACTCACCAACTAAGTCCAGCCTTTTATTTCTGAAATCATCCCACTACTCATCAGCATCTCTAATAGTTGTTAACATAATATTAGTGCTGTTGTCGCAGCCATCAAGATCAATCATCTCAGAAGTGAGGTCGTGTTTGTGGCGATTGTGGGGTTGCGGATGCAGTGATTGGGAAGTCGTCAGATTATGACCTCCATTGTCGGAGCTTGTTTGGATAAGCTATCTATTGTGATTTTTAGACAGCCTACAAGCATCTCCAACAATGATCTTAGGTCTTTCCTATATTTGAGGAACAAATCTCTCATCCTAGGAAATATGGAGCCAAATAATGAGTAAGTGCTCTAACAGTGCTCCCCAAATGGTTTCCTACCTCACGTTCTAGACTAAATATAGGGAGTAGGAGGGGGGAAAATTGCTCCAATAATGCTCCTTATATTGAGACTAAATATAGGGAGTCATTTCTTGTCTTTGATTTGGAATATCAAATCATAAGCCCTATATTTAGTCTTCATTATAGGGAGCTTGTTGGAGCCAAAATTTCCCCTCATACTTCCTAAATTTACTCAAGGACATGAGATAGACAGGCTCTTGGAGATGCTCTTAATATTATACACTTGTGTTGGTATATAAGGGACGTGCAAGCAAGCGAGCGGGACCGTGCGAGCTGGCTCGGGCGAGTGCTCTTTTTGCACGTGTTGTCTTTAAACGAGCTTAAACGTTTTGCATATGCTCACTTAAAACTAGCTGAAAGTTTCGTACGTTACAAACATTACAAGGATTGAATAGGTTTTATTGCAGACGTTACAAACATTACAATAACCGGAATTCAAATCATTGTCTCCCATGTATAAAAGGGCTTCTTCTGGTCATTTGAAAAACATAGAAAAACGAAATCTCCTGTCTTCTTCTTCTTTTAATAATTCTATAAGCTATTAAGTATTGGAGGTTCTGATGGACTGAAGAAATAGTCGTGGTGTTCACAAGAAGAGAGTGCTTCTTTAAACTGCAACCGTCTCATCCTCGGAAGTATTGTGCAGACCCAATGCTGCCGTAGGTGGGGCATAGTTTCTTCAATGCCAGTCCTCTGTTAAGAGGGCGATTCGACACATCTATAAAGTATTTCAAACTTGAAGTGTATTTAATATGATATTTCTAACTTTCTGCTCTTTTCTTTCTTTCCTATATAGTTTGTTTTGTACTTTTTTGGGTCTGTTTTTATGCTTGTTTTTCCCAACATATATATCCCTATGCAGCTAATAACACACACCATTGTTGTACTAATCTATCATTGATATGTGGCGCTATCTGTTTTTTTTGTTTATATATTTGCGCAGACGAAAGACCGGGACAGCATCTTCTCGCCCGTTTGGAACCAAGATCCGAAAAAGGATATACTGTATGTGTGCATGGGACCTTCTTTCAATGCTCGCGAAACTGTGTACATCTGCGCCATCCCCAACGTGTCCAGTTGCGCGATGCATCGTCAACAGCTCACAAGAGGCCGTTTCAACGACGCCTTCCCATCCACCAATCCGGATGGTAATACAGCGCGCGAGGCTTAGGTTCATTCCAGCTTTACTCTACATACATACATACATATGTATATGTAGCTGTCATTAATATTATAATTTGTACGGATGGATGCACGGGTTGAGAATTAATACTGATCAGTAGTTAACTGCAGGGACGAAATTAGTGTTCCGATCTACGAGAGGTGGAGGGGGAAAAAGGCACAAGAATCTATACATAATGGAGGACACGGTATCAGGGGAGTACGGAGAAGGCAAAATAACGAGGCTAACAAATGGGGAATGGACCGACACTCATTGCCAATGGTCCCCGGCTGGAGATTGGATAGTATTCTCGTCAACCCGCGACAAGCCTGAACATGCGCCAGAAAGTGACAACGGTCTCGACCCGGGGTACTTTGGGGTGTACCTAGTGAAGGCTAGCGACCCGTCAGTGGTGGTGAGAGTGATCGCAAGCGGAAATGACCTAGCGGGACATGTGAACCATCCCTTCTTCAGTCCGGATGGGAGGAGCATCGTCGTGACTTCAGACCTTGCGGCGGTGTCCGTCGATCCCATCTCATTGCCTCTCTTCCTGCACTCTGTGAGGCCTTATGGAGATATCTTCACTGTCGACATTGACGCTGATGACGTAGAGAAGAACAAGGATGTGAAGAAGTTCAACCGCATCACACATAGTAGGTACGAGAGTTCCACTGGTACTTGGACCATGTTCTCAACTGACGACCCGAATGCAAAATGGAACCAGCATTTTGATGAAATACAGTACTCCGTCACGCCCTTATGTATAGCCTGATGGAGGCCAAAGTTGTCCTTCTTCATCCCGGCCCTCTGCCTTCATTTGATCGATGTTTCAACGATAATATTGCATCTTAATTTCTTTTTCTAATAATTATGCAATTTCAGTGTGAGAGACATGCATGGCTACAGAATTGTATCAGCATTGCTGCTTGTTGTTTTCAGGCTTGTACCACTGAAATTAAGCAAATGTTGGTCGATGTTTTCTGAGCGGAGCTCATAAGTTACTCTTGGATGTGCACAGTTTAACTTCACTACTCAACCGGCCCTAAATGCCAGTACTACCTCGCCATTTATTCTTATTGCTGATAAAATCAACCTAAATGAGATATGAACAAGGCTAACCCTGCAATACATCGGACATTGGACAAATTTTCAAAACCGACCCTTTGGGGTTTTTAATTGCAAAAAACGACCCATTTCACACTTATTTATAAAAACCGACCCCAGGGGCTGAAAACAGGTCGGTTTTTGAAAAAAAATTTCCCAAACTTCACGGGAGTTGAACTCCCGTGAAGTTTTGTTATGAGAAAAACTTCACGGGAGTTCAACTCCCGTGAAGTTTGGGAAAAAAAATTTCAAAAACCGACCTGTTTTCAGCCCCTGGGGTCGGTTTTTGTAAATATTTTCAAAACCGGTCGTTTTTTGCAAATAAAAACCCCAAGGGGTCGGTTTTGAAAATTTGTCCACAGTTAGTACCTAGCACATGTCTCTACGCAAAAATTGGGTTTAAACAATTACCAAAAAAGTAGTTGCCCCCAGTGGAGTGGACGGCGAGTCAACGACTTTATGGACAAAATACAAAAGATCATGGACATTGACTTTACAGACGAAAGGACAGAAGATTATATCAAACATGATCACATGGTTCGCACCAACCTTCCATCCTCTTTCACGCTTGCACTTGCCTTGTGCAACTACCCGTTACAAAGTTTATTATATAAAAACAAATACAACCAAGTCATTCATGATTTAATAAGGATACTTAAAAACTCTGGTTGTTTTTTCACATGGAACAATAAGCAAGAAGCAAACACAAGGGTGTGGAGTAGATTGGATAGAGCTTTGGTAAATGATTCTTGGATCAACAATTTCAATTCTAGTCATGTGGAATTCTTATTGCCAAGCTTCTCTGACCATTCTCCAGCACTGGTTTCAATTCATGAGGACTTCCTACAAGGGAAAAAACCCTTCAAATTCTTTAATATGTGGACTAAACATGCAAGTTATCTGTCTGCTGTGTCTGAAGCCTGGCAAGTACAGATTGAGGGTTTCAAGATGTATTCAGTCTTCACAAAACTAAAAAATCTGAAAAATGCTCTAAAAGACATCAATAAAAGACATTACCTTAACATTAGTGAGCAAGTGATGAGGGCAAAGAAAAATCTGGATACAGTTCAGGTAAATCTGCAGAAAGACTATCTCAATGCTGCTCTCATCAACAAAGAAAAGGAATGCTTAGCCTCCTATAATAAATTGCTAGACTGTGAGATGTCCTTTTACCAACAGAAGGCAAGAATTGAGTGGGGGATTAAGGGAGACAGATGTACTAATTTTTTCCATTCTATCATTAAATTCAAGAGACACCATAGCAGAGTGACAGTGATCTATAATAGTTCTGGAGAAAGAATTACAGATGGGGAGGGGATAAAAAGTGAATTAATCTCTTTTTACAAAGGTCTCCTGGGGACTAAAGTAAAGACAAACCCCCCAGATATCAATATTATCAGGAATGGGCCTTGTTTAAATGACACACATATCAGATTCCTATCTACAAATATTTCAAAAGATGAGATTAAATCAGCAGTATTCTCTATGCCTGATGGGAAAGCTCCAGGGCCTGATGGGTATAATGCAGTTTTCTACAAAACAGCTTGGGGAATCATTGGTGAAGAGGTAACACAGGCTATTCAAGAGTTCTTCAGAACTGGAAAGTTGTTGGGCATGGTAAATTCTACCTCAATTACTTTGATCCCTAAAATTCAATGCCCCAAAACTCCATCTGATTATAGACCAATATCTTGCTGCAACTGTTTGTACAAAATCATCTCAAAAATTTTGGCAAACAGGATAAAAACTGTTATGGGTCACTTGGTAAATGAAGCTCAGAGTGCCTTTGTAAAAGGTAGGCAGATATCTAGCAACATTCTACTTGCGCATGAGTTGATTAAAAATTATGGGAGGAAGCATATTTCACCTAGAGTAATGCTCAACATCGATATAAGGAAAGCGTTTGACACATTCAGCTGGGAATTTCTGGAGGATATGCTGCAGGGTCTGGGTTTTCCTAGTAAGATGACAAATTGGATAATGGCTTGTATCTCTACTCCAAAGTATTCAATTTCTTTAAATGGATCCCTCCATGGCTATTTCAAAGGGGAGAGGGGACTGAGGCAAGGTGACCCTTTATCACCTTATTTGTTCATCTTAGGGATGGAATACTTATCTAGGAGATTGGATAAGTTAAAGAATGAAAAGGACTTCAAGTATCATCCTAGATGTGGGAAGTTAAATATCACCCATCTTGTCTTTGTGGATGATCTTCTTTTATTTGTAAAAGGAGATATTCTCTCGGTGCAAAATTTGAATCAATGCTTGAGTGATTTCAGTGCTGCCACAGGGCTTGAAGCCAATCCTGAGAAGAGTTCAATATTTTATGGAGGTGTATCTGATACTATCAAAACAGCAATTGGAGACTGTCTGGGTTACAAAGAAGGAATATTTTATGGAGGTGTATCTGATACTATCAAAACAGCAATTGGAGACTGTCTGGGTTACAAAGAAGGAGTATGGCCAATCAAATATCTTGGAGTTCCTTTGTTATATAAAAGACTATCCTATGTAGACTGCCTCCCCCTCCTCAATAAGATTTCTGGTCAATTTCAGAACTAGATGAAGTGCAGAACTTTATCTTATGCTGGAAGAATTCAGGTGATAAAAAGTGTGATACTTGGAGTTCAAATCTATTGGACTTCTAGTTATATTTTACCTATGAAAATGCTCCATAAAATTGATGAACTATGCAGAAATTACTTGTGGGGGAAAAAGGATCAGTCACTCAAAACTGCTCTTGTCTCATGGGATAAAATATGCTTATCAAAGGATCAAGGAGGCCTGGGTATTTTCTCTACAGTAATATGGAATAGAGCCTCAGCTTTGAGGAATTTATGGAATATACATGTCAATAAAGAACTGTTGTGGATTAGATGGATTCATGGAAACTACTTAAAAGATAAAAGCATTTGGCAAGTGCAGGCAAAAAATGGGGATTCATGGACATGGAAACAAATGTTGAAGACTAGAGACAGTTCTTTGATTCACTGTGGGGGGGAAGCTAACCTAAGTCACCTTATTGCTTCATGCTATAAAAACACCAAGTTTCATCTCTCTTCCCTGTACAGGATTCTTTCCCCCAATGTCAGCAAGGTGAAATGGCGAAATACTGTTTGGGGGGATATGAACTATCCAAAGCATTCTCTAATTTGTTGGCTTGCTATCCAAGATAGGTTGCTAACAGAGGATAGGCTGATGCGGAGGAATATTGTGACAGAAAACAATTGCTGCTTATGTTCAAACTCTGGATTGGAGAGCAGGGACCACTTATTCTTTAGTTGTCCTTTTTCAAGTGAAGTTTGGAATCAAGTGATGAATTGGTTGCAGTTTAAATGGAAGTCTTGCAGCTGGAGATGCCTCCTTGACTGGTTCTGTACCAAGATAAGAGGTAAAGGGAACAAAACGAAAGTAAAGAGGCTGGCTTTTACTTCTACACTGTATAAAATCTGGTGTGAACGCAACAGTAGGATCTTCAAGCAAGAGTGCAAAAGCAAGGATCAGTTGGTGAAGGAAATCAAAATGGATATATTAATCATTACTCTCAACAGCTCCCTACCGGAAGATTTTAAAGAATGGATCAGTTCCCTATAAATAGCTAGAAGGATGAACTTTCCTGATACTTTGTAAATTTGATATCTCACATAGGAGGATCTTGATGTTCTTAAACTCATTACATTTGGTGAATGAATACAATATTTTCATTGACAAAAAAAAGGATACATAGAGGGGGGAAAAATAGAATAAATAAAAGTATAGTACACATTGAATTGGCCATGTCTCCATTTTCAATCCCATTAAGACTTGTTTCCATCACACATTTGTTCAAGTCAAGTTGGCGGAGTCTAGGCCTGTCTATTCGGCCCGGTCCGAAAAATCGGGCCCGGTGGCCCCGGGCCCGGGCCTGACTGGGCCAGGTTTTGTCTGTTTTCTTTATTTTTTTTAAAATTTTTTAAAAATTTTAAAAATCTTTTTAAAATTTAAAATATATATAAAAATTACAAAAAAATACAGAAAATAAAAATAAAAACAATCATATTATTAATAACTTGAAAGGACATAAATTATAAATACAAAAAAATTATAAAAATAAAAGATGATAAAAATAACTTCTTTATTAATAATCAGTAAATCTTTTACAAGTATAATTTATTTCGGAATTCGTCGTATCACAATAGATGAGTACATCCCAACTAGGTTGGCACCTACTCACCTATATCACTATTATTTGCAACTATTTCCAAAATAATGCATTATACATTTAAAGCTAAGACATAAAAATTACAATTTGATGAATATTGTTTAATCTTTATATCTATTTGCTAGTCCCAACTCTTCAAATTTATCTTCAATTCCAGCTATCCGATCGATGTCTTGCGTTCGCTTCTCGTACCTCCACCAATCTTGTAAGCACATTACCGCTTGTAAAGTATATGGATCTAAGCATGTCCTATGATCGTCAATCAAACGTCCTGCTGTGTTGAAGGCGGATTCCGAAGCTACCGTCGAAACCTGTACTGTTAGTAAGTCATGAACCATGATGAAAAGTATAGGATATGAAACTGATCCATATACTCTCCACCATTGTAAAATATCTAAAGTATTTCCTTGACATTTAACTAAAGAAGCTGATAAATATTCATCTATTTCAAAAACCTGTAACGATGATCCAAGTCCAGACCCACCAGTTAGCTCAGCGACCATTGCATGCTTATCAAAACTTACACTTTTACCTCGGCTTGAGCTCGAAGGCGCCGAAGCTGCAAACTGTTGTGCAGCTACACAATATCTAGCTGCATACTCATCATATAATGT